CTTGTTCAAGAAAAAAAACCAAAACAACAAAAGAGTAAAAAAGCTAAACTTGTGATGCTCAGTGTTCAGCGGGCTAAAGGGAGGAGGAGGGATGCTGCCTTCACTTTCTCCAACTGCGTTTTACAACTCTTGTCTCAACTGTACTGTGGTGATTGTGATTATGATTATTACAGCTGGAAGTCTTCAGTTTTTTGAGGGTTGAATTAATGAATAATTTGAAGATGATAAAAATGGAATCTTTCATTGCATTTACTATTCCCTCTCTCCAAAACAAAAGAAATCTGTGTTTTCCTAGCTACAGGAAACATATTGATTTAATTCCACTCATTAATGATAATGGTTCAAAGATTACTTAAGGAGTCTGCAGCAGGGTAGCTGTTTGCAGGGTAACTGTGTTTGCAGGGTAACTTGGTCAGAGTCATCCTGGCATCTACTGGAGTCATTGGGCCAAAACCAGAGGGGAGTGCAGAGGTATCCAACTGAGTCTGAATTGATACAACTGTCAGGTTAAGGTGGAGTCACAAAGAGAGATAATTTGCAGCATCTGAGATCACTTAAAGGCTAATCCAAAACCTTGTAGACTCCATAGGGTTCTTTCCAGTGCCTTAAAGAGAGTTGCAAGTCTCAGTTCTCAGTCTTAATGTTGATTAATTTTCACGTAAACCCCAGTTCTGCAGTCAGCCATTCTTTTTCAGAGGAAGGGTTCCAGCTAGTAAAAAAATCAATTTTTTTCAGCTGTCCATGAATAATGCCTTTTCCTGAGTTGACTTCCTGTGGATACTGTCGTGGATGACACAATAAAGAAATCAAATTTCTTACGTGGTTTTTGCAGGATATAAAGCTATCTTATAAGAGAGATGAAACTTCTGTAAGACGAGAATTCATTCTTTCTCATGGTGCGTGTCCCACACCTGCCTTCCAGTGGAAGGTAAATACTCATTTGCTGTGTATACAAATGCACATATGCAAACACAAAAACATGGACACTGAAAGAGTATTCCTTCTCTGTCTATCTTCTTTATATATGAAAGAGAGGAAAAATGTAAGTGCAGAGATGGTTCAGGAAAATCCGTTCAGATACATATTCACAGATTTGTAATATGCAGTATCCAAAATACAGAAACTGAAAAGAAAGATTACAAATATAGCACAGGAAAGTTCTAGAAATAAGTTAGAAGCTAAATATAAATCAAACTGACAGTTAAATAGGACTTTTCAATCTGAAATAAAGTCACAATGGACAGGGTTTTTCTGTGCCAGGGCAAGTGGCTGGCTGCTAGTTTGGCTTGTCCACAGGGAATGAAATGGTAGGTTGATGCCTCAAATAAATGACAGGGAAGGACAACTTACAACTCATCCTGGAAGCATCAATCTTATATATACATGTTATTACGCCAAATTATATTCCTAGTAGGATTAGGTTTGGCTGAAGAACAAGTAGTAGTCTCGGAGTTTCCTATAGCAGAAAAATAAGTAGAAGAAATTATTTCTCTCTTAAATGAGGATATAATCTCTGAACTGGGTAGCTTTTATAAGAGTTTGCAAAATGTATCAAAATTAAGATCATTGCTGCATAAAATTAAGCTTTTCTCAGAAGGCCTTCATTTGGTATTTTGAGAGAGACCAGCACTAACGTGTTGCTCATGGGAGAGCGGAGCAGTTCTGGTGCGGGGGTAATTTGCATCCATTTTTCTTTGAGTTCTCACTATAAGATTGTAGCAGTTTTCTGTCAATAAGCCTGGTAGGCAAGAATACTGATCATGATGCTTTGGGGTTTATTTTCGAGCACTGCAGATGTGAAAATTTGAGAACCTTTTTTCTGTTTCTTTAATTAAATGGGATCATAAGGAAGCCTGTGGCTTCCTGTTCGTATTTATACCTCTTACCCGTTACCCAGCATACTGAGGGTCTGCTTTGGGAAGTACTCTTTCAGAGGATTATTTTAAGTATTTTGAGAACTTGTCATCTCTCGCTTATAATGCCTCTACAGTTGAGGCTGAGATTATTTCTTTATCATCAAAGATTTTCTCATAGCTAGGATTATTTTTAGGAGTTTTTACTTCTGATCATTTAAAAAAGAGATTTTGGCTCAATTATGTAGAGGAAACGTGTTTGTGAATTTTGTGAAGACAGAATAAATTTGCTTTATTCCTCGTGTGACTGGCTTGTACTTGGTATTTCTTCTGTAGTCAGTTTGAACTTAGAATTATTCAAAGAGCTACAACAAATCGGTTATTAAGTGTGTAACTGCGAGTGGTGTCGCCTCGTGTAGCCGGGAGCTGCTGCATTCCTCTGAAGTTCTGGTAATAGCAGCCAGTCTAGAAACACTAAATATTTGGAATAAGGTCTTTAAGTTAGTAATAAGTCTTATTGATGTGAATAAATATTATTAAGGATTTATTCCAACTCCCTTTAATCATTAGTAGTTAGAAATAAAGGTAAATGTACTGGACTTGGCTTCTCCCATCTCTTAATATAGAAATGATAACTTGTGTGTATTATATCTATTAAGAATTAGGTGTCTTCCAGAAAAAGGTACTTTATTCGACTGATAGATGCCTGGATTAATGGCCTGGATAGCCAAGGGAGGCAGCGGAGCACGAGGCCTTGCTGGGATTTCGGACCGCGCCTGGGTCTTTCACGGGCGCTGAACTGCTCACCTCCCTAACGTTGAGGCTGTCATCTCCTGCCACTGCATGTCAAATCCTGAGCTATGTGACTAGTGGGAAAACTTCGTGTTTTGTAATTATTATCTGAAGTCTCCCTGCTGGCGTGGCCCCAGGGAGGCCTGTGAGCTTTGCTTCCTCAGCTGAAAATCCCCCCTCACCCCCCAAATATAATTTTCCTCTTTTTTTTTTTTTTTTTTTTTCCCCCTTTATCCACTCCAGTTTTCACACTGTAAGAGAGGAGGAAACCTTTTCCCTCGGTTTGAACGGAGATTTTTATCAGGGCCTTTGAGCCATTTCGACTCCTCTCTGAGTTGGGCTCTGCAGTTTGAGGCGAGCCTTGCCAGGCAGCAGGGCGAGGAGGGTGTCGCACACACAGGGAGGGCGGTCAGGGGTGCCGCAAGCAGGTTTCTCTTCGTGCTGCTGGCCAGGACGGGGTGGAAAGGCCTCAGGTGATCGCTGAACCCTTTAGGGTAACCCGGGTTGTGCAGAAGTACTGCGCTGCTTAGCCTCAGTCAGGATTTACAGCTGGGAAGGAGGAAAAGGCTGTTTTGAAACCTAAACCGGTATGTTTAACACTGTTATTGAAGACTTGAGTCCATTTTTCTAACTGTTTTTTCTGCTTTCCCCCCGGATATATGGTGAGGGGTAGTTACGTTTATGGCTTTTACTGCTTCCAAGTGGTCAATATTCATCCCCTCTGGATGAGGGGATCGAGTGCACCCTCAGCAAGTTTGCAGACGACACCAAGTTGGGCGGCGGTGTTGATCTGCTCGAGGGTAGGAAGGCTCTGCAGAGGGACCTGGACAGGCTGGATCGATGGGCCGAGGCCAACTGTATGAGATTCAACAAGGCCAAGTGCCG